GAGATAAGATGGAGATCTTCTCCCCCCCACCCCACCTCATGGTTTCGCCATGCGTGAAGCAGCTTTCCCCACCCTGTTCAATCAGTCCCCTACATCGCAATGCCACATAAAAAAAAAAAGGGAAAAAAAAAAGCAAAGAGATTGGGGGGGGGATATAAGATGGAGATCTTCTCCCCCCCCGACCCCATCTCATAGTTTCGCCATGCGTGAAGCACCTTTCCCCACCCTGTTCGCTCAGTCCCCCAAATCGCACTACAAAAAAAAATGGAAAAACGAAAAAAAAAAAGGTGAATGGGAGAGAGAGGATAATTTCCCATCACACATACCTTTGCGAGTCATCGCGGAATCAATGGAGGGGACAACGCTGCACTCCTCTTCGTTCTTATCTTCTCTACCGCTTTCCTTTCGTCTATCCTCCTCTTATCAACTCATCAACCATAGATACCTTTATGCTCAGATGTTCATGTCTCCCCTATCACAGATTTGTACTATAATCTCCTTCTCTTCTCCTGTCTTGGCATCCCTAAATGAGGCAGCGATGGAGAACAGGCCCAACAAAAAAGAGGCCGGTACCTTCATGTTCTCGTGACCACACAAAGAGGGAGCGATGGAGAACAGGCCCAACAAAAAAGAGGCCGATACCCACCGCGAAAGAGGACGGTACCCAAAAAAAAAAGGCAGGCCGGCACAAACGAAACCAAGCCCAGTACCAACCGAAAATAGGCCGACAATTTTTTTTTTTTTCTCGTTCTTCTCGAGGGCCTAGTGCCCTTCTGCCACCGTTATTCAGATTACCAACCCTTGCCCAGAACAGACGCGTCATTCGCGACTGTCCTATGCCACCCTGCGTCCATCCACCAACCCTGCGCCTACCCCGACGTCCATCCGCCCGCCTCCGCCTGCTTGCGCCTGCCTGCGTCGGCCTGCCAGCGCCTGCCTCCGCCTGCGTGCGCCTGCCTGCGCCTGCCTCCACCGGCCTCCGCCGGCCTCCTCATACATCCGCCTGCCTCCGCCTGCCTCCTCGCTACCTCCGCCTGCCTCCGCGCTGCCTCCGCCTGCCTGCGCCTGCCTCCGCCGGCCACCGCCTGCCTGCGCCTGCGTCAGCCACCCTCCGCCGGCCTCCGCCTACCTCCGCCGGCCTACGACGACCTCGGCCTACCTCCAACGGTAGAAGGTACTCTCTCTCTCTCTCTCTCTCTCTCTCTCTCTCTCTCTCTCTCTCTCTCAAAAAGGTCCTCTCACTCTCTCAAAAAGGTCTCTCTCTCTCTCTCTCTCACTCTCACTCAAGAAGGTCCTCTCACTCTCTCAAAAAGGTCTCTCTC